GTAAATCTTAATGGGGAGAGCTCAGGAAGCATCCAAATCTGTGATGTTCTCATTGAAACATTCAGCATGAGAATCTGGAAAGGAATTCCTCCTCTCTAACCCCCAGGCTCATCTTTTTCTTGCTGCTGTCTTCTTCTAACACCAAGGGCAGACCTAGGAAAACTAAACCACGGAAAGACAAAATCAGATTTAAATTAAAAATCTTTTAAAAAATAAAGTAGAAGATAGGAGTGCCACTGTAGTTGAACAAAGACTAAAGTATATTTTAACGAGATTTTTCTGTGTCAACCACCGCTAATGAAGCCATGACTTTCTCCCCTTCATCAATGACTCACAGCCAGACTCCTTGGTAGTCTGTTTGGAGGAGGTGAGTCCTTTGAGACTCATCAGATAAGAGGAACTAAGGAGCAGAATCCTATTGGCCTGGTGTGTGCACAGGAAAGGTACCATCAAGACCAGAAGGGAAGATCTGTATTTTTTCTACTAAATAACTCCTTTCTTAGCTGAAACTTTAGAAATAAAATGAAAAACAGCTTCTATAAACGTCTTGGCCCCACTGAGAAATGTTTTAACATTATTATAAAATTTTCAACTGTTTTACTAAAAAAAAATGCGATTTTTGTAGTTAAGAATGGAAAAGACTGAGTGAGTTCTCCTCGAGGTCTTTAGAACAATCAGGATTGCCGAAAACAGCAAAGCACTTGTTTTTCTATCCGTTCCTCGTCGGTGCAATAATGTACAAGTTGTGCTTGCTTAAAAGACTATGTTTAGCCAACTCTCTCAGGCTCAATTTTGTCAGCCTGTCAACTGAAAGAAATCGCGCTTACCTGACAGCCTCCTGTGGGTAAAGAAAGCAGAAAGGCCAGGGAGAGTCCCTGTAATAGGATTTTAATATGGCAATGGGGAAGACTGGAACACTTCAGGACCCCTCAGTCCTTGAGGCTCTATTTCTACTGTCAAATCCTGGGAGGCAAAAGCATGCTCCCCGTGGTTATCCAGGCTGTCCGGCTGCACTCAGCAAACCAGCCCCAGCTTGTGCAGTGAGCATGCTCTGTGGTGGGTGAGCTGGCCGCTTGGTCTTCAAGGGTGGGCTCCACGAAGTGAGAAATGACAATCAAGTCCCGGGTTTCACATGACATTTCCCTCTGAAAATTACAGCGGTTCGTTTCACCATCACTCCCTTCTGGTGGGAAGTATATATAACGTGAACCTAGCAAGCGATGGTTCCTGACTTTGTCTGTCTTCATTTAGAGAATTAACTCAGGGCTGACTTCATCCTGCTACTTTAGAGCGACTGAAATGGCCTCTAATAATCACATTTCCTATTAATAGCTTTACTGTACTAGAGAAGCTAAATCAATATATAATTTAATGGCTTCTCTTGCCAAGGGCATTATTGATTCTGTCTCTAATGATTTTGAAATGATATGTTGTTATGCAAATGCTATCCATCCTAGGTGTCTTTATAAAAGCATACATGGATATATTTCTTTGTCCTCATCTTTCATTTCTTTTTCATATCTCGATTACCAAATGCTGAGATATTCCCAAAGAATTCTGGTCCTGATGAATAGAGATGCTCCAATGATAAATTGGAAACTAGTTTTATGGGATATTGTAACTCTTGCCTTGGGGCATAGGAAATAAAGCTGTTACAATGTGTTCTAGTTTCATTTCCGTTACTGTGATAACGTACCCTGACTAAAAGCAGCGTAGGGGAGTAAGGGTCTGTTTTTACCTTAGAATTCCAAGCTACAGCCCATTATTGCAGGGAAGTCGTGTCAGGAATTTAAGCAGCTAGTCACGTCAAACCCACAGTCAAGACCAGAGAGAAACAAATGCACCCATACTACCTGCTTACTTGCCTTCATTTCTGTTCAGTACCCAGCCCATGACATGGTCACTACCACATTGAAGATGGTTCTTTCCACCTCAGTTAGCAATAAAGACAATCCCCCACAGATATGCCCACAGTTCAACCTGATCTGGGTGATTCCTCCACTGAAACTCTCTTCCCATGTGGTTCTGTGTTGTATCAAGTTGACAGCTAAGGCTAACTGGCACACGAGGGTAGAGGAATAGTAACGGCATTCTGCAGTGATAAGAAACAAGACGTCAGTGTGTGATTTGGGGGTACTGAATAAGTTGGTGTATTGTCCCTTGCACATAAAATCGGTGCCTTTCCTATCCACTGACTCACTAGAAAGGCTTTCTTGACTTCTCTAGTACAACTATATCTATGACGTTCTGTGGGCTGGGAATATTATATGGGTCATATAATAAAAAGCAAGGACATTGCAACCTGACTTGCTATGATGGGGGCTTTCCAGTTTGATGCTGCCTACCAGGAAGGGCCTTCACAAGGAATGTTGGGGCGTTGGTCCTAAGGACAATAGCTAACATGACGCTTTCAGTTTCCTTCACATCCCCTCTCCTGCTCTCATGACATGGCTCATTTTAGGACAGATGTGCAACTCCAGTTGAAGAAGTTTGCAAGAATGCAAAGTAGAAAGTAGTACCTAAAGAGCACAAGTTTTGTTAATGAGGGTGAGAGAGAGAGAGAGAGAGAGAGGAGAGAGAGAGAGGGGGGGGAGAGAGAGAGAGAGA